AGTGCTGTTGAACAATTGGTTGTATCAAGAAAAAATATATGATGTGAACATTAATGACTTTGAAGAGACAAATATTATCAATGCGTATTATATAGATGTCTTAATTCTAATTATGTACACAATATTTTTACTAATTACTAATTTACTAATATTACACAAAGTTTTGCTAATCAAGAAAATGTTCAAATATTCTGAACCAATTATTTTTTTGTTTGTGCATTGTTATACCAGATGATTTATTTAGCACTGTATATATTTGTATATACATACGAACTGAATTTTTCAGAGAATTGTATATTATAGAGTGACTTCATCAAACTTTTTGGAGTTTGGAACAGTGGATTCTGCATAGATTTTTGACAAGTACTCTAATAGAACATATGGAATAAGAGGACTACAATTTCTGTATATATACCTAAATAGGCAAAGGGATTTTTCAGGCCAAAATGATATCGTTGTTCTAAGTCTTTAGATGATTTCCTGATATTTTGTTTAGTTCTCTTACCATGTTTGTTACTGGTTATGATCATTTTCCTAATTTTTATACCATAATTGGAAGGCTAAAAAATAAAATGAAGGAGACAATAGAAAATAAAGTCCCTCAGGGGGGAAAAACAAGTGGGGTGGGGTGCCTGGGTGGCTCAAACGGTTAAGCATCCGACTCTTGATTTTGGCTCAGGTCATGATCTCAGGGTTGTGAGATCGAGTCCCCTGTCAGGCTCTGCGCACAGCTTGGAGTCTGCTTGGGATTCTCCCTCTCTGTGTACCTCCCCCTCTGCCCCTCCTCTCACTGGCACTTGCTCTCAGGTGCACTCTCTCTCTCAAATAAATAATTAAATCTTTTAAAAAGTAAATTTTAATAAAAGCATGGATATGGGACTTAGTTTAAGGGAGCATCGGAAAGAAGCTCTGAGTAAGATGTTTCTTTGCATATCAGATTTTTGCTTATTTCTAATTTTGCCTCTAGCCACTTGAAATTCTGTTTAAGCAACTTTTTCTGTGGAATGTTGGTAAAAGTCTATAAATAGAATCATTTGACTACTGGAATCAGTTCACATCTGATTTACTGTTTCATAATAATAGCATTCTTGAGGATAATCATCACACAAGTAAAACATTATAGAACATCAAATTACAAGCTTCTAGAATTCCATTTTTAAATATTCTTTTGTTAGCATTCTTTGAAGGATTTTGAATGCATTTGCTTTAAATTCCTTCCTGTGGTCAGACAAGGACAGTGAATTACACTGATTGGAGCCACTACTCTAAATTTCCTCACTTGTAGGTTTGCATAACCCTTTACAATTATTGAAAAATATATTTTGTGGTTTGACTGTTCTCTAAAGAATCTAATACTTGAATGTCATATGTGTGTGTTTTGGGTATTTGACAGCAATGTAGTTTGTTGTTGCAGCTGCTTTAGCTTTAAAAGTCACATTTGAAAACAATGAAAATATCTGTCATTTCTTTATGTGTGTGTGTTTTCTAACAAGCGAAAATATGACCCACCTTGGTAATTCTGTTTCTCACTGCTCTCTGCCATTTCTCTGCCCAAAGTTCTTGCTGTTCCTTGTACAAACTTAATAATTTCCTGACCACATGTCTTTGCTTTGCCTGTTTCTTTTCTTTGGAATCTCCCTCGTAATGATGGTCAAATCTTACTCATATTAAAGGGCCACATATAAAAAAGGAAATTAATTCTTTCTTCATTGTAGTTGAAGTAATTATGCTGTCCTCTAAGCTTCCTTTTGTGTTCTTTTTTCTCTCTTAGATACCTTATGCTTTCTCTCTCATATTTATTTTATAAATACATTTTATCTCCCCAGTAGTACTTTGGGCTCTCTGAGCAAATGACTTGTAAGGTTGGGAAGGTTGTGTTTAAGTATGAATAGTGTTTATAATTGTGGTATACTTTAGAGATTCAGGAAAGACAAACAAACACTAACCTGTTGTATAAAGTACAGTGCGAAAGATAATGTTCTTGCCAGAGGAACAGTAGTTTTGCTGACCTTGGTTGTGCTGGTGAATAAATCTCTTAATATTGTAGTGCTAAGCAAGCATGGATTACTTTCACCTTCAGCAGTTTCTGTTCTGTGCTACTCTGTCAAGGCTGGGGTAAGGTTAGTCTGTGGCCTCGAATGAGGAGAAGTATAGCAAGCTCCTTTCTGGTCTAAGTGGACACTAGCACCCAAAATGACAAGACAGGACATAGCCTTTAGATTTCTGAGTGGTGTTTATGTCTCTCAGTTAGCTGTGATTTCCAGTTATTTATAATTTCAGGTGGCAACAAGTATACAAAAAAAAAATCATAATTCTATCCCCAAATAAGACTGACAGGAATTAGGGATGAGAGTTAGAACCCCAGCCTCCTCTCTTAGATTTAGGATTAGATACTGGGGAACTGCATAGAAAGGCTAATAAAAAGAATCATTTAAAATATGGGGTGGAGATAGCAGTGATGAGTGAAAGAAGTATGAGAGAGAGATTATAACACCATGCTTGCACAGATGCCCAAGGGAAGAACAACCTGGAAAAAAAGACTGACAAGGAGCAGTCAGTCTTAATGTTGGAGTACCCCAGGGTACAGTCCTTGCCCTTGATTTCTTTTCTATCTCAACTCATTTTTTGGTGAGCTCATCCCGTCACAAGACTTTAAATACCATCTAGTAGGCCAGTGACCCCCAAAATGTATCTCCAGTTCAGACCTTTCCCCCAAATTCCAAATCCAGCTGCCTACTGATCCCCCCATTTGAATATCTAACAGATATCTTTTTTTTTTAAGTTTTATTTATTTATTTGAGAGAGAGAGCATGAGAGGGGGGAGGGTCAGAGGGAGAAGCAGGCTCCCTGCTGAGCAGGGAGCCCGATGCGGGACTCGATCCCGGGACTCCAGGATCATGACCTGAGCCGAAGGCAGTCGCTTAACCAACTGAGCCACCCAGGCGCCCTCTAACAGATATCTTAAACTTAGTAGGTCCCAAAGTAAAGTTCTGATTCCTACCAACATCTCCCAACCCCTACCTCTGCTACCTGTGCTCTAAGTCAGTTGAAAACACTCCATCCTTTCCATTACTGAGACCAAAATCTTGGCGTCATCCTGATTCTTCTCATTCTCGTGCTTCACATCCAGTATGTCAGGAAATTCTGTTGTCACTACCTCTAAAATACACTTGAGTTCCAACAGGTTCTCACCCCCCCTACTACTACTGTGCGGTTCTGGGCCATCATCATCTCATACCACGTATTAGTGGGTGGCCTTCCTTATTGGTCTCCTAATGTTTGTTCCCTTTTATTGCTAATTTGAAAGGAATTGATTGTAGACTGTTTTATAATATCTGTGACATGGGAAATACCAGTATTTTGGATAGCATCGTTTGGCAAAGAAAATATTGTTCTGCCCTGTTTGAGTTCTCTTTAGCTGGACTGTGTAATATTTGTGCATGAAATACCCAGGAAGAAGCTTTTAACAGAAAATGTGTAAAGTGGCTCTGAAAGACAATATACCTAGGCTTACCAGCTGTGATGATTCATTAAAACATACTTTAGCATAAGAATTGTGGGCCATGTTTTTAGCTGCCTGATGTGTGATTGGGTGGGACTCTAAGGACCGCTGGTCTGTAACTCAGCTTCAGTGTAACATAAGACGCGCTGACTGACGAAAGGATACATTCAAACATTTCTTCCTTGACACAGTTACTAAAGACATGTTTCAGATTCATAAAAAATGCAGGAGAACATAAAATTGTCTTTTTAATCTTCAAAAAAGGAATGAATTTTAATAGTTTACTTTTTATTAACATAAGTCAAATTCTGATTAGAATCTTGACCATAAGTAGAAGTTAAAAAGTCAGAAAGGGTGAATGATTCTGTTCTAATAAAAGTTGGTTTCAGGAAAGTATAGATATTGTAGTATGTTTAACAAATTGTACCATAGGCTTTTGTCAATTTCTTGTGATTTGGCTTTGAGAGCTATCAGTACAGCCTATTCAGATTGAATAATAGTGGCAGTGGTGGTCACAGGCCTTTTGTGACTCTCCTATAGCAGTTTCTTGAGTCCATAATCCAGTTCACGTAGCAGTTACCTTAAAATGTATATTAACTTCCTTTTGCAATGGGAGGACAAGATAAAATTCCCTCTAAGTCTATTTTGTTGAGCCTAATGTATACCTTTACTTTTGTGAGCAGGCCTGCTGAAATCTAAGGAATGTTTGTGTGTGTGTGTGTGTAGTTTTGTTTTTTATTTTAATACTTTTAAACGTGTCCTGTTAGGAACCCATACAGGCAAACATTAAAACAAAAAATGTTAGAGACCCCAATGATCACCTTTGGTAGTATAGAAGTTGCCTGAAATTCTAGTGAAATAATGAACAAATGCAAACAAGACAAAAATCTGAATTCAGACAAATATATATTTTGATGCAAAACAAGAGGCATTCTATTAAAGTTGAAACCTTACTAATTCCAAATCTGAGGAATGTTTCACAACACTGTAGTCTAAATCAGGAAATCTTAACATAGGGTCCATAAATGGGCTATATGGAGATCCATGAATTTCTTTTGTATACAGAGTTTTATATTTATTATCTATATTCTCAAAAAAGAGACCATACTTTTCACCAAATCCTCAAAAGAATCCATAATTCCCCCCACACAGAAAGTTTAAGAACCACTTAATCCTTATGTACATCTACATCACTGTGGTAAAATTTTTGAACCAAATTTAATTCTTATGACTGACAATGAAAATTTTCTATTTTTGCTCTCCAAGGTTTACCATCTAAATTTTAAAAGGTTAAGCCAAATCAAGGTAATGTTTTTAATAATGTTAGCAATAGTAGATGCATGAAACCCATTCTCTTTGTAGCATGTTGCTTTGGTGTATGTAACTACCTGTTCACATAAATATGAATAAGTTGGGATAGTCCTTTAAATGATCTATACTTGGATTATAATTTTAAGCAGTTTTTTTTTTCTTTTTATTCTGTGTGGCTACAAACCAGTAAGCATAGCTGATCCTGCTGCCCTTGGTTTCATCATTTCTCCATGGTCTCTGCTGTTGCTGCCATCTGGTAGTGTGTCATTTACAGATGAAAATATTTCCAATCAGGATCTTCGTGCATTCACCGCACCAGAGGTTCTTCAAAATCAGTCACTAACTTCTCTTTCAGATATTGAAAAGGTAACTCTTAAATGTTTTTTGCTTGATTTTGTTTTTTATTTTAGTTGGGGTAGGAAAAGTAAAAGGCACTAGGCTACCCTACCTCAACCCTCTGAAAAAACAGCCATTGAATTTTAACTGATCATGTGTTCAAGAAGTTCATATAAATTTTGTGTAAGAATGCAAAGTAGTTTTATAAAAATTTAAGGATCTAAGAAAAAATATTTTTTAAATGTGAGCCATTATTAATTCATATTTAAAAATACTTATTAAATGCCTTCTGTGTATAAAGCACTGTGCTTGTGAGAAAGATGCAAAAATAACTAGAAAATTGATAATGATCAGAATACCTGGGTGGCTCAGTCAGTAAGCATCCGACTCTTGATCTCAGCTCAGGGCTCGATATCAGGGTCGTGAGTTCAGGCCCTGCACTGGGCCCTGCGCTGAGTGTAGAGCCTATTTAAAAAAAAAAAAAAATTTGATCCTGATCGATGTATATGAAACAATCTGTAATATATGGATTGAAATAAATGCTATATACAGGGATAGAGTATATTAGGATGCTGGAAGAGGAGCAATTAGTTTTTAGCTTAGAACGATAATTACAGAAAAGGTAGCATTTGTATTGGGCCATGAAGAATGAGTAGAATTTAGAAAAGTAAAAATAGCTAGAAATGAGCATTCCACTCAAGGTTACTAGTATATGCAATGATAAGAGGTAAGAAATTGTCCACTCTGATAGGGAAATGTTTAGTTAGACCAGTTAGGCTAGAGCATTAGCTACCTGGAAGGCTGTGGATAAAGAGAAGGAGGCTATTAAATCAGAATAAAGAAGACTTTGAATGCCAGACCTTGAGACTTTCTTCTGAGACATATTTTTAGGAGAATGATATGATGTGATTTGTGATTTTAGAGGGTATGTTTGATGAAAGTGGAAAACTAGGTAAGATGAAAGATTTGTATAGGAATTGTATTATATAGGAATCTATACATTACACAGAATCTATACTGCACACGCACACAACAGAATGTATAGGAATTGTATAGAAATATGAGGAGTTTTAATAATCTGCGGGAAAGAACTGAAAATCATGTAATGCCTTGGGAATATAAAGGCATGGATGAAGGGGATACAATGGAAATGAAGCTGACAAAGTTTGACAGTTCATTTAAGGAAAATTTATGATAAAAATACCCAGTCTGGGGTGTCTGGGTGGCTCAGTCATTTAGCGTCTGCCTTCGGCTCAGGTCATGACCCCAGGGTCCTGGGATCGAGCCCCGCATCGGGCTCCCTGCTCGGGGAAGCCTGCTTCTCCCTCTCCCACTCCCCCTGCTTGTGTTCCCTCTCTCGCTGTGTCTCTGTCAAAGAAATAAATAAAAATCTTTAAATAAAAAAAAAAGAAATATCCAGTCTGAGGATGGCAGTACCATTGACATCAGATCTAATTTCATTCTCAAGGCTATGGGGGGGGAGGGGAGTGTGTGTGTGTGTGTGTGTGTGTGTGTAGCGTGCAGCTGGCTATGATGATTTAGATATGAACTTTGTAGAATTCAGAATTAGGTATGAATATCATTTCCCATACATTATTCCATATAAGTGTAAAAAACAACCTAATAATTTCCTAATAGTGAAATTATTAAATGAAAAAGTATGTGCATTTTATTTTAAAGATTTATTTATTCAAGACAGAGTGAGAGCTAGAGATAGCAGGAGCCGGGGGGAGGGGCAAAGGGAGAAAATCTTCAAGCGGACTCCCCACTGAGGGTGGAGCCCATCACAGGGCTTGATCCCAAGACCCTGAGATCATGACCTGAGCCAAGACCAAGAGACAGGAGCTTAACCAACTGAGCCACCCAGGCGACCCAGTATGCGCATTTTAAATTTTGATATACATTGCCCAGTTGCCATATAAAGGAATTGCACTGATTTATCCTTCTATCCTTCTATCACTGACAGTGAATGTTTCCCTCTTCAGAGAGGGTGAGGGAGAGAGGAGGTAAGAGTGAGGAAGAGAGTGTGTGTGTGTGTGTGTGTGTACGTACGTACACATGTATCTGTTGATTAAGTTAGAAGAAGGCATCTTGATTTGAGCCATTAATTGTGTTTCTGAAAAAAGACTGACTGGAATTGGTAGAGAATCCAGGTTTATCTACCTTTTATTTAAATTCCATGAACTGCTTAAGAATTTTGGGAGGTATAAGCAAAGGAACCAGTAAAGGAAGACAACACCTATGAAGTAGAGGTAATACTTAAGGCATTAGCCAAAAGAAGTTTTTATTACATGATACAAGGTATTTGAAAGGAACTTTGTATATTATAGAGTGTATAGAGTGTTGGTCATTGTTATATCTCGTGAAGGTATTCAAATGTATTGCTGGTGTCTTAATAAGCTGCATAGCATATATATAGCTATTTACTGTTACTATTCATTTATTTATTTATTTATTTATTTATTATTATTTTTTAAGATTTTATTTATTTATTTGAGAGAGAGAGAATGAGAGACAGAGAGCATGAGAGGGAGGAGGGTCAGAGGGAGAAGCAGACTCCTCGCTGAGCAAGGAGCCCGATGCGGGACTCGATCCCGGGACTCCAGGATCATGACCTGAGCCGAAGGCAGTCGCTTAACCAACTGAGCCACCCAGGCGCCCTACTGTTACTATTTAAATGCATGCAGTCTGTACAGTCTGTGGTTCATTTAAAAATAATTTTTTTTAAGATTTATTTATTTGAGAGCGAGCACACAAGCAGGGGGAGGGGCAGTGGGAGAGGGAGAGAATCTCAAGCAGACTCCCCGATGAGTGCAGAGCCCGACATGGGTCTCCATCTCATAACCCTGAGATCATGACCCAGCCAAAATCAAGAGTGGTACACTTAACTGACTGAGCTACGCAGTTGCCCCTAATAATAAACTTTTAAAAGATAGAGGGTAATTAGAACATTGGAAATAGACATAGCGTGTATGCAAATTACTTAACCCTTGGGATCTCTAATTTTTTTTAAAGATTTTATTTGAGAGAGAGAGAGCGAGCGAGCACACGAGTTGGGGGAGGGGCAGAGGGAGAGAGAGAAGCAGACTCCCCACTGAGCAGGGAGCCCAACGTGGGGCTTGATCCCAGAACCCTGAAATCATGACCTGAGCAGAAGGCAGATGTTTAACCGATTGAGCCACCCAGGCGCCTCGAGATCTCTAAATCTTCATTGAGCTTCAAGATATCTACAAACCAATAAAATAGCAAACTAAGTTTTGCATGTCTGAGCACTTTTGAGGAAGAGGAACAGTGTCCATAAATTTATCAGTCTCTCAAGTGGATCTGGTGACCTCAGAAAAACTAAGAAACACTGCAACAAAGCCATGCCTGCATTAGTTTTAAAAACTTCTACTGAATTATAGTAGGGTTTTTTTCTAATTATGAAAAGTTTTGCACAGGTATTTATGAATTCTTGAAAGCATTTAAAATCCACAATAAAAGAAAAAAGTGCTTAGTAGAAATTTCAGGTGCACAAGTGCTTTTCATTTGCTGAAGGTTTTACCATTTTGCCCTGTGATGTCAAGATACCCAAACAAGTAAACTGCCCTGTGTTTAGGTACAACTTAGAGCACATGGTTGGGAAAGTGATTTGACACCTCCCTATTACTAGGCTGAGTGTTTAGGAGCCAGTGCTGGGATGGGATGGGTGTGGAATTGTTGCCATTACTACATTAAAATAAATTTGATTTTCTAGTGGATCTAATTGGCACTTCTAGCTTACCTCATGCCTCAAAAGCTTCAGTGCAATTCTAAGTATAAAGAAAATCAAAGGCACGTTTTTTTATCCCATTCCTGTTTGCAATGTAAATATAAAGCAAAGGTCAGGGGAATAGCCATATATTCTAGTATTCTTTTTTTGGTGGTGGGGGGCAAAAGGACATATTTATTTGACGACTAGTGGCCAATAAATTCGTGGAAACATACTAATTTGATATTGTTAGTATGGCAGTTAAAATTAAAAATCACTATTCTAGTATTCTGATTTTAATGGGGAAGGGGTGTACTGAAAGAGGATGGTAATTGCATTTCATGACTTCTATGAGTTAAGGATGTCATTAACTAGTATTCGGTACATGCTTACTATTATTTTTAAAAATAATACTAAGTGCCAGCACAGTATTGTAAATAATAATGAGTGCTTAGTAAGATCTTGATGCATAAAAATGTTCTCTTTATTCAATGGAACTTGCTTTGTAAACTGTGTATGTACAGTTGTATGAAAAATTTACCTCATTACCAGCTCTATAAATAGGCACTTTCATTTATTTGCCTTAAAATTTTACTTTTCAAGATAACATGCCTCTTTATTTTATTTTTTTTAAAGATTTTATTTATTTATTTCAGAGAGAATGAGAGAGAGCACATGAGAGGGGGGAGGGGCAGAGGGAGAAGCAGACTCCCTGCTGAGCAGGGAGCCCGATGCGGGACTTGATCCTGGGACTCCAGGATCATGACCTGAGCCGAAGGCAGTCGCTTAACCAACTGAGTGAGCCACCCAGGCGCCCCGATAACATGCCTCTTTAAAAACTATACAAGTTTATACAGGTCACAGTAAGCTTTTTGATCCTCTGGCTTTTCTGTTTACTTGGTAATTGTTCACTTCCTGCTTGCATAGCACAGGATGTGCTTAATTTGGCAGTTCTTTTGAAATCAATTTGATGGGATTGGAACCTGAATCAAATTCTTATTGTGATTTGTTTTCAAGAATATTGATATGCCCTAGGGATTTGTACTATATCCCTGATAATCTAAAGGATTCTTAGTTTAAGTGCTCATTGCCACTAACTTGCCGTCTAAATATCAGGAATTATGGCTGCTATTATCTCTGTGCTTCTTGAATATCAAGGGTCATCTTTGTAAGAACAATAATGGAAATTCACTTCTCCAACCCTGGCAGAAGCCTCAACTGAACTTGTCAAAACAAGACCGGGGCACCTGGCTGGCTCAGTCAGTGGAGCATGTGACTCTTAATTTCACAGGTGTAAGTT